GGATAGTCATATCCCATGTAATTTACTAAAACAAAAAAAACGCTTTTCATTGTGTGTAAGCTCTTGCTCATTTTTACATAGACAGACTGTAAATCATGACCTTCTATGTTCAATAACCGCGGATGCACGAATTACTTAACGTAACTGATACTACGAGTATTTACAATGATATAATTACCATTCAAAATTAGGGAGATTGTTTATTTTCTTAGGTTTATTACCAGTTTGTTTGTTTCTAGGTTTATGGCTAGTTTGATGAGCTCAGAAAAATTAATGGCTGCCCAAACATATTTACAGGACATTGAAATAGCTATAATTTTTTCACAACTGGATATCTTAAGCATGGTTGTATTTGATGTAAACATTTTTTTTTTTGATCCCCTGACCCAAGATCTGTGGCGATGAATATGAATGAATCATGATTACGAAACCATAAAAGCTAATTTAACTCAGATGTGTATGTTTACAGTTTTTTAAGAGATATGGCGAATATTTATCAGGTTGGAGTCATTCATAAATTGAAGCAATTTATTACGGTGCAACTTGTACGAAAATATAAATTACTATAAAGAGAGCGCGCATGAAAACTTACGTAAAAACTTTATTTACATACATAAAATTGTATATTTTTTAAAACACGGCATCGACATCCACGGCCGTTAGCCGTCAAATTGTATGTATTGGTCACATTGTTGCTTAAATTGATCTCATCCTGAGTGGGGAGCTTATTTCTTGCCTTGGGTAGGTGGTGAACGGTTTCTTGTCAACCAAGGCCGCAAGCTCTACAGGCTTATATGGAGATGCTACAGTGTGTGTATGTCTCACGTATAAATGATGATTATATATCTCTTATCCTTCTGGTGTCCTTTGTCTGAGGAGGTCAGAAAAACGTTTTCCCAAATAATTGAGGAATTCTCCGATTTGACAACACTGGTTTAAAAGCCTTGGCCTATTACCGATGTATAATATACGGATTATTTCACACAGATGCATACTTCATATTTTTGCATTTTCCTGTGAATTTATAGGTCGTTTCCCGTTTACACCATTGCTAAATGTTATTGTAAATGTTCTATTTCATTCAGTCCCACAGTATATTTTAATCTAGACCATGAACTAGTTTCATTCATCGAATCTATTATATCTACAATAACTAGGAATACCCCAGTTATAAAACCAGCACTAAAGCTCTATTTTTGATAGAATATGGCCGCGTGGAAGGCAGTCGCCGCTGAGAGGAATTGAAATAACCGATCCCGATCATCCTAAAGGATTCGATGGTTTCGGTTCCGATCCCATTGGTTTCGATTCCGATTCTGATCAATTTGATTCCGATTCCAAGCATTTTGATTCCAATTCCGGTGGTTTTGATCCCGATTCCGATCATTTTGATTCCGATTCTGCTGGTTTCGATTCCGATTCTTGAAGCCGGGTTCAACCGTTTTGATACCAGCGCTTGAAAATAATCACAGAATGTTGCAACTTGAAGTCTGAACCCACTGATTGGCGCAAAAATGACCAATCTAAGCACAATTTCCAATAGGACATCGCAAATTGTCCTATCACCCAATCGATACACCACTTGTGAAAGGGTATCAGTTAATCCCCTTCATCACCCCTTCAAACTTGTAATATATATACCCTCAGTCTACAAGCGCACTGGATCTACCAAATGAGTATTTTTAGCCATATTTCCAGAAGATGCTCTGCAGAAGAATGCCAAACATAAGATGTTTATCTTTTGTAGTTCGGATGGTAAGAACGATTTAAACCTGAACAGATGTTGCAGCATTTTTTTATTAGCTTATATAATTGACCAATATGACTCTTATGAAATATCTACGTTCAACCGTGGTACTTACGAAAAATACCAGTCTTCAAATGTACGTACCACTTGTAAATGAATTCACTTCCAGTATGTAAATCTGGTAAGTGTATTTTCTGTGATAGGTAATTTTGATTCCTCATTGGTTATACTGACACCATTAGAAGCATCCGTTCTTTATGTGGTTGCCACTGATGCAATAATGTATACGGATTTATTAGGAACCCCGTGGTGATGCTGATTATTTGTATGTACAATGATAAGAAACACGTTAGTGCGGGATATGTTTATAATCTATAAATGCCTTATAAATTGAGTCTACTTGATTTTGAGAAGCGGTACGTATATTACGACAGTCGATATGTGACAACTAACAAGGTAGCATTTCTGAAATAGCTAGCTGAGAAGTAAAGTTGAAGGTTAAAATGAACTGTGAGGCAATTATTGCTAAGATCTATACTAAGTGACATATAAATCCGAACACCCAGTTTAAATGGTTTTATTTTAATAAAAGTTGGTGAATGTATTTATCTTACTGTAAATAACAAGTGAAAAAATTTTAAGCCTTATCAGTTGGACATTCCGGTTATTATACTGCTTTTTGTTAATTCACTAACGCTCTAAAAATGAATATTTCAGCCGCAGTAAAGAATCAACGTTGGCGGATTTTGGTGCTTGACATCCTTTACCATCGGTTACGATGCCTAGAGTACGGAGACCTGTACGATTTCGTCAACTTAGTGAGTTTGATAGGGGCCGTATAGTGGGACTTCGGGAAGCTGGACTTTCTTTTAGGACAATTGCAGTTAGAGTACAAAGAAGTGTAGACACTGTGGTTAGGTGTTGTCAGGCATGGCTTCGAGAAGGCCGTACGCAAAGAGCAAGGTGCACTGGACGCCGCCGTAGAACAACAGACCGTGAAGATCGCCGCCTAAGATTATTGGCCTTAAGGGACCGTTTCTCCACTACCAGGTCCATTGCAAATGAATGGTTTGCAGAACACGGAAGACCTATTGACAAGCGAAGTGTTTACCGACAAATGAGAAGTTTTGGCTTGTTTTCATACCGGCCACACTGGGTCCTCCCTTTAACTCGAGAACGCCGACGTAATCGCCTTGAGTGGTGCAGACAACGGTATTGTCTTTAGTGACGAGCCTCGATTTTGATTAGGCATGCACGATGGTCGTGCCAGGGTTAGAAGGCGACGTGGTGAAAGGAGGAATCCACAGTTTTTTGTTGAAAGACATGTTCATCACACTGTTGGAGTTATGGTTTGGGGTGCTATAGCTTATGGTTCCAGGTCACCTTTAATCTTCATCAGAGGTAACATGAACGCGCAGCGTTATATCCACGAAGTTCTAGAACCCCATCTTTTACCCTATCTTGACACCCTGGCAGATCCAACTTTCCAACAAGATAATGCCCGACCACATGTTGCAAGAGTCACAATAGACTTCTTCCAACATAATGATGTCACATTGTTACCATGGCCACCAAGATCTCCCGACTTATCCCGAATTGAGCACGTGTGGGATATGATGGGTAGGAGATTGCTCAATTTGCAACGTCCTCCTCAGACTCTAGTAGCACTTCGAGAGGAGTTGGTGGTTGCCTAGAATGAGATACCACAGGAGGACATTGACCACCTGATCAGAAGCATGCCTAGGCGCGTTGGAGAATGCGTAGCACATCAGGGTGCATCCACACATTATTAAAGGTCAAAGGGCTTTAAAGCAGTGCAATCATTTTGAAATTTTTATCATTTACTTATTATGCTTCATTAAGTACTTATACAAAATTTTATTAAAATAAAACCATTTAAACTGGGTGTTCGGATTTATATGTCACCTAGTATACGTATATTTGAAAGACCGTTTGTATTGCGAGGTCTGATACCTTATGGTTACGGGGGTCGTACACCTGCAATCGCTCAGTGCATCTTGCTACTTGACTTTGAGACTCTCCAGTATAGCGCGACCTTGTAAATTGTAGCGAGAGGTACATTTTCTAATCGGATATGTGGGTTCAGCTCCCTTGTGTTTCCTTCGGTAAGAAAGAGAGGGAAAGTGTGACAAACGACACTGTTGATATCGGCTGTTTAGCGTATTCCCCTCCTGCCTGCGCTAAAGAGAATCGGCAGCCACGTGCCACTTCTCCTCTCAAGCCTGTCACCAGTGATGTCAAGTCTAGAGATATGTCCCTAGAAAACAAGACATAAAATGCTTTTAGGTTAAAAATTGTTTTATGGTATCTTTGAAGATACAGCAACTATATATAAAAGCAAATCCCAGAGAATTGGATGCTTCAGCGTATGGTTTGTCCCTTTTTTCGATAACATTATTGGTTCTTTAACCAAAGTTACAATAATGTACAATTTTGAATTTGATGTATTTCATATTTTATTATTTAGTAGCCATTCTCTTTATTGAACACTTTATTTTCTTATTCAGTTCTTGAATTTGCTGGCCCTGTATGGGAAACTGAGGTTATGCGCGACATAAATATCCTTGAAGCAGTACATCGTCGGACAACTTCAATCCCATTTGGAGTTCGCAGTCCCAGCTATGAAGATCGCCATTTCACTTGACCACATTCTCCGAACGAAGAAGCCGAGGAGATCTCATACTTACCCTTAGAATACTCCATGACTTGATTGGCACCAACTTGAAGCCATACCAACTGTCGCGCAAAGTGTGGTTAATGCAACGCCAGTCAATAGCTTCAAAGTGTATTACGATAGGTGGTGGATCAGAGAACAAACTTTATAGCTATGAACTTTTTGTTTCTATTTTATGTACTTTGCGCTACTTATACATAGGCTACGTTCTCCTTTTGTGCATGATGAGCATGCTGCTCATCTCTACTTTGTAATAATAACAATAATAATAAAAATTCCTTCATGCCAGTGCAGCGAATCCAAAAATAAATGAGTTATGCTTTACATACAAATATATAGGTTTCCATATGAGGACGGAATATTACTCAAACATTTTGGGAAAACCTATTAGTGGGATATTATACACGACATTTGAGGGCACAGTTTTAAAATATTGAACATTATACAGGGTGTCCCAATTAAGACCTACCTATCAATGTTGTGATTTTTCAAATGAAATACCTCAAATTTTATTGCATATTTGGATAAACCAATTCAAAAGAAGAAGATTGATATAAATACTATGGGGCTTTGGTAATTAGCTACTGAGATGTAAGGTGCTCTGTCCAGAAAAACCGTCCACTTCGGCAGCCCCTCAATCCGCCATTTTGAAATATGGAGTGCTGAATTTTGTATAAAAAAAACTTACACACCTCAGCTTTTACGTTATTTGTTACTTTTTCGAATTCTCATTTTTGCTCAGACAGGGTGGTCAAAAACGCAAATTGTACTTCTTCTCAAAAATTTCAAATGCATCATCCTGTATATTTGTGCAAGTTTGGATTCAATTTTTTTATAAGCTTTTTTTGATACTAGACACATAAGGGTCTTTACGGCTATTTTTGCGGCCATTAGTTCGTCTTTTATGGAACGGCTCAATTCCCTAAAATATCGCATTATCGTTGGAAACAAATAAATTGTTGATTACCTACAAACTGTCAAAATTAGCTTTGTGATAGATATAGCTACATAGCTCCAAGAAACTCCTGAGAACAAATCTTGGTAAGCTAAAGTTCGTAGATGTTTATACGACAGGAGGTCATTCTCCCAAAACCAAGAGCTATGGAACTCAAATTTCCTTATGGAATTATAATCACATTTTTTTGTTGCTCCGAACAAGGAAACATTTTTCAGATTTCTTAAGAATGTACGACCCGCCCACATAATTTCTATAATTTGACAAATCTCTGCGTTTCAGCTGAACTTAAGCTCGAATAATGTGCAGGAGTCTGCATATTAATGGGCATTATGAGGCAGTTGATTTGCATTTTGCATAATTTACACAATTTATTTTTTGTCTATCTCAGCATTAACGGTCTCTTCAATTCGGTTCTTTACTAGACGCCAAACTTTTAACGTTGTTCTGATAATTGTGTACTTGTACATTTTCTCGTAAAATCCAAGGAGCAATGATGTGTGAGGTCTTAGTAAATAAAGTATTATTTCGGGAGTAGTGGCAGCTAGATTATGAGTAAAAAGAAAATAGAATAAATCCAGAACATACTTAAGATCACCTTTGTATATTTGAGTTGCTAATACTGAGCGTTAAAAACATTGGAGGCAGAGTTAAAGAGGCTCATTGGGTTCTTTGCCAACCTTTTGACCAATTTAGGTATCTTTCACTTGTCAATATCGGGGCGATCACTAATCTTCTAAATTTTACTATTAAATCAGACCCATCCACATCTTCCTAGAATATTGGTATCTATAGATATTACGTTTAGTTAGGACATATGTCGGCGTCAAACGCTGAAATCCGCTCTTTCCTGAAATGCCTAGTCAGTCCCCGTATTGTCGGCACACATGGTTTGATTATTACAACATTTGACTAAGCATTTCAGTCATTCCATGTAATGACTGATAGAATTTCAGTCAAACACCGTAACAGTCACATTAACTTCGTTATTGCATCCGACTATTTTAGTCAAACGCTGTAATCAATACAGTGTTGCTCCAAAGAAGTACATAATATAACAAGATATTACTTTATCAATTATATTGAAAGAAAAATAATTAAGCATTAATTAGTCTAAAAGGAAAGAAGAATATATTAAAACGTTGTCTTTATTATTACATTATTGTGGACATTATTCATTAATGTATTGAATCAACAAGAAATATCCTGAAACTATCGAAAGAAATATAAAACAATAAATACACATTTAAAAAAAATGCAGAACCATGAGTAGTGACAAACGAATAAAAGTTACATAGAATTATCTTATATATTATATTATTTCAAACATTATTTGTTAGCGCATGTTAGACTCATATGGCACCTTTAGTTACAAAGAAGTTTTTTTTTAAGCAAACACATCTATTGGATAAACACTGCTTTTCGCTGGTTTACAGGAACTCTTAAAATGTCCTTGGCCTCCCTCTAGCGAAAGTGACTGCACAGC